TCTGTAATTGATCTTCGTGGAACTGTTTGTCGTTATTAATGCAGTGTTTAGTTTCGTTATCGTAATCTAATTCGTACTGGTGATGAATTTCATCTGTCTGCACACGTGATTGTCCGCTGCCTTCTTTAAGACGCTTATTCGGCATTCTTGGTCGTGGGGGGGACTGATAGTAGTTTTGTCTGTTCTGAATTCGTTGTATAAATTTCTGTTGTGATCAAATTGGTGTTGTCTGATCGGAGGAGTTTGTTTAAAGGAGGTGTGGCGCCCAGACTAAAGCCCAGTCTGGCAACACGGCGTAAACAAGTACTAACGCCAAGACCTTTCCTGGAGGACGATATCTTTTGATATCTTCAGACTGGCCACTCTGGACTCCAGCCTTGCCGCGCAACAAGCTTACGGCATCAAAATAACTTTCCATTGTATCTCTTAATTAAATTAAGCGGTAACTATATAAGTTACCATATTGGTGACCCCGCAATAAACAAAATGCTGAATACCGGAGATTCTGCGCCTGCACCGCCAACTTCGCCTGACTTTGGTGAAATTCAACGCGGAATCCCTGTCGTCGAGTCGGTTGGCGCCATCAAGCTACCGCCATTTTGGAAGCAAAATGAGCGGGTATTGTTTGTGCAAGAAGCCCTCGCAGCTCCTTCGGCAAATGACAACTCTTGCTGATGGTCGCGCGTCTGCAGACGCCTTGCGATACCGCTGGCTCTCTCAGCTACCGCAGCATGTACAACGGGGCTTGAAGCTCCTACGCTCAGCAACTTTGGAAGCGCAAACTGCACTCGCTGACGATCTCATGGAAGAGCAATCGGGTTCTTTTTTCATGGCTGCTGGGTCCTCCTCGGCACAATTTAGAGGCAACACCCGCGAATACGCTCCGGCAGCTGGCACAAGTGTCGTGGACGACTTGAAACGCGACATCGCTGCCATCAAGGCCTCTTTAACTCTTCTGCAGAACATGCAGCCTCCCAGCCATCGCAACGAGCAGCAACTCCGAGCACCACGTGTCTGTTTTTATCATGCCAAATTCAGACCTAATGCACGAAAATGCTCCTCGCCCTGTGCCTGGGTGCCACAGCAGGGAAACTAAAGAAACAGTCATCTGTTCAGGCGACTGGTGACTGCAGATCTCCAAGCATTCGCCCCTTAAAGGACTTCACATAATCGATCGTAATACCAACGTAAAATTCCTTATCGATTCCGGATCAGTTATTTCACTCATACCTGTTTCGATAATCAAGGGAATGCATCGTCGCAAAGACGACTTCAAACTCTACGCGGCCACGTGTTGATTGATACCTACGGCACGTTAAATCTAACTTTTGGTAAGTTCACCTGGTCTTTCGTCGTTGCGAACACGGACACTACTGGTGATTATCGCAAACTTAATGCTTCTACTATTCCAGCTCGCTACCCGATTCCCCATGGGGAAGACATTCTTCAACGTCTGCATGGATGCTCGGTTTTCTCCACAATCGATTTGGTGCGTGCCTACCACCAGATACCAGTCGCGCCAGATGATATTCCGAAAACAACCGTCACTACACCGTTCGGCCTTTTCGAGTTCGTCGACATGCCACCCGGACTGCGCAATGCAGCGCAAACCTTCCAGCGCCACATGGACAACCTGGCATTCTTCGTGGCATTCCATTCTTAGGATGCCATATGGACGACATCATGGTGTTCTCCACAACGCATGAGGAGCATTTGAGGAACCTACAGACAATCTTAGAGATTTTGCAGAGGAACCACCTCCAAATTAACCCTCAAAAGCGCCAATTTGGTAAAAGTGGTAAAAGTGTCAACTATTACCGACACCTCATACCACACGCAGCTCAGGCTCAAATCCCGCTCACAGACTACCTAAAAGGCGCAACCAAAAATGACAAGCGCGAAATAGCCTGGAGAGATAGCCTACGGAGAATGCATTCCAGGCCTGCAAGCAAGGAATTTTACGTGCCGTGTGCTCTTCGTTTCTCTCCCCATCGGCTCACCTCGCCCTTAAAACGGACGCTTCCGATACAGCGATCGGTGCTGCTCTCGAACAACTAGTCGGCAACGTTTGGCGTCCCATCGGGTTTTTCTCGCGGAAACTATCTCCGGCAGAGCATGGCTACAGTACGTATGATCGCGAGCTCCTGGCTATTTTCGCAGGTATCATCCATTTCAAGCACATTCTAGAGGGTCGTCCATTCATCATCCAAACCGACCATAAACCACTACAATACACTTTCAGGCAGAAAGCAAGCAAAGCATCGCCTTGACAACTCCGCCAATTGGATTTTATCTCCCAATTCTCAACGGAGATAGTGTACAATCCCGGGGAAAACAACGCAGTGGCAGACGCCCTCTCACACATCAACACCATAAGCATGCCGTCTAGCTTCAGTAAACCGTCGATGAAATGGCTGAACATCGACAACCTAGACATCTGGTGTGACATCTCGGATAAACGCGAGCGGCTATATTCACGCAAAAGTCTGAGACGCCAACTGCAAAGTACTTAAGCAGCGGTTTGTCTGACCAGGAATTAACCGTGATGTCACCCTCTGGTCCCGACAGTGCGTTCCTTGCCAGCGGGCCAAAATCCATCACCACACATGCAGCCCGGTGGCGAAGATCGATGTTCCTGACAATCGGTTCGAGCACATTGGATTCCCAATATCCGTAACTTACGCTACTGTCTTACCATCATCGACCGCTTCAGCATGTTTGGCTGCCCACTCACTATAACAACGGACCAGGGAACTCAATTCGAATATTCATTGTTTGCTGAGCTGGCTAAACTAATTGCAGCTGAAAGGATACGTAAAACCGCATATCATCCTCAGTCAAACGGCATCGTGGAGAGATGGCACCGTACCCTCAAGGCCGCCCTGATGTGGAAGTCTCACATAGCATGGCCGGATCTCCTGCCTACAGTTCTGTTGGAGCTGCGCTCGGCGTTTAAGGCGGACCTCAAGTCATCGCCAGCCGAAATGCTTTTTGGCACCACTATTCGTATCCCCAACGAATTTTTTGAGTCGCACACTCCAACCGCCTTCAGCAAGAATCACCGACTCACCGAGCAACTACGTCAACATATCAGGGCAGCCCGACCTACTCCTGCAGCGCATCACGCTAAACCACCTGTTTTCATTTCTAAGGACCTGAGAACTTGTACACACGTCTTCAAGCGAGTGGCATCTGTCAAAAAACCACTTGAGCCGCCTTACACGGGACCTCATCGGATAATACGCCGGGTTGATGACAAGTTCTACATCATCAGCATTCATGGACAAGAGAAGCCATATCAGTCGACCTCCTCAAGCCTGCCTTCTTAGCTGAAGCTGACGCTTGCGAAGACCACCACGAGAATCCACCGCCTGACAAACAGATATCGCAGCCACCTCCTTTCCTGGAGGACGATATCTTCTGATATCGTCAGACTGGCCACTCTGGAAATTAACTTTCAAATTAACTTTCCATTGTATCTCTTAATTAAATAAAGCGGTAACTACATAAGTTACCATAGAGGTTTGATTATTTACGTTAGTGTTTTGGGTCTGTGTGGGCTTTGTTAATGGAATAAAGGGGCGAATGAATCGTTGCTTGGGGTGAGGGTTTTTGATTTGATTAATGTTTGTATATTTATAGGTGTTAAGGGTATTTGAATTATGTAAGTCTTGGCTGACTATCGGATTTTTTTTAAATTGGGTCTTCGTATAGACCTTCTTGTTGGGCGGTTTGTCTTAATTTTTGAACTCTTGAAATGTCATGCCTCGCTAAGGTCATAAACAACCTATCGGGGAGTGAGCGTTGAATTGTATTTTTTATAATATTTGTCATTGCTTGTGTATAGTTGACTTATCTTGTAATTGTTCACAGAATAGACGTTACCTCTAAAAGTTGTGCGATACAACCTTCCTAGTAGTTTCTACATTGGCGTCTGGAATTCCGTGATTAGGGCGTCTTTTAAAGTTGTCCATTCGTTGTGCATTCCAAAGTGGGAAACCTGTTCTGCATCTCCGACAATTTGAAGTTCAATGGCTCCAAATGTGATTGCCTTCTGTCGAATGTCGTTCGAAGGGTATAAGTTCAACAGGTATTCGATACGTCTGATGAACGAGCTGAGATTTGATGGGTCTCCAGAGAATTGCGGTACTTGGCGTATTTGCCGAAGTAATTGAGAAAGATTTTCCGCAGCTAACGCCATTTTAGTTTTAGTTTAGTTTTTTTTTCACAGACTGCTACAGTATGTCGAGACTTATGCCTTAAGTGAACTGCACTGTTTTAACTTTTTGTTGTTTTATACAATAGTAGCGTACGCACTTTTGATTTTAGTGGACTACTGTTTTTGTTCACAGACTGCTACAGAATGTCGAGACTTATGTCTTAGTGAACTGCACTGTGCACCTTTTAATATTACACCTTAGTGGTGGTCTCACTTCACGAAGCAGGCCACAAAATTAGGTCTTTAAATTAACTCCGATCTCACAGGTTCTTGTGCGGATACCGATTTTAGTCACTTTAAACTAACCGAAATCACTTTGTTGCGGCCAATTCGCGGGTACAATCAGAAAAGGTTACTTCCTCTTTTCACTAGATTGTCAAAGGATAACGAGTTTACTAGGAACTGCGCCAATAAACCTTTTAGGTGATATATTTATTAAAAAAATATATATTTTTCCTTTTATAATCTTTATTGGATAAGTTTCACCAGAGGTCAGCTATGAACTAACTTACAAAAGTATTCTTTCGGCCCAGCAAACCTTTTATAAAGGATTAACATAAGCCTTTTAAGTTCTACTTAGCTTACCGGATCATTAAGTTGCTACCGTTAAGCGGTTGGTGTCTTGGGAGAATGTTATTTATGAGGTTTTTGAAGAGTGAAGCTTTCCAAAAGATCGGCTATACCTGTTTATATGAACTATATATATGTCACTATATATACTTTTTTGTAAGTTGTATAAATATAACGCCTATTTATTAAACCATAAATTTGTTCTTTTCAGGTACGTTCGTTGCATAAAACCTAACTTACAAAAACGACCAAACACTTATAGCAGCTCTTTAGTTCTCGATCAATTAAAATATCTTGGAGTTGTGGATATAATTCGAATAAGAAGAGAGGGATTTCCAATACATTTAGCCTATAAAGACTTTATCGTTAGATATAAATGTCTTATGAAATATAAATCATTTGAATGTCCACAGAAATATTTAAGCAATATTTTGCAAATAAGTCGCATGCCTCCTACGGAATGGCAAATAGGAAAAACTAAAATATTTTTACGCAATGCGGTATATGAACTATTGGAGAGCAATCGAAAAGATACAATTTATAAAAATGCCGTTATTATTCAAAAATACTGGAATAGATATTGTTGCCAAAAATCGTTTATACGCAATAAGCAAGCTGTTCTAAGAATACAGCATGCGTATAGAGGCTGGAGACTGAGAATCCGTTTTATGAGAATGCGACGTAGTGCTATTGTCATACAAAGTCGACTACGTGGAGTTTTTGCTAGAGAGGTAAGACTATTTATAACAATTATTTTCTATTTACTACACCATATAATATAAATCAACGATGCGCACCGATTTATAGGTCACCAGTCTCGATGTACCAACGAGTGGTGGTATTATCAAAATAGCTTCTCTGTAGCTTCCTCCGACGACTACAACGACAACAAGAGGCCATCGTAACTAGTTCTAGACAAGTATTAGCTACAGGTGAACCTACTCATCTAACACTAGACTGACGCCAACAGCTTTGGACTTTATTGTCGTAAATGGGGTTCCAATAGATAAACTTTTAATTGAAACAAAATACGATCTGTCTTTGGACCACCTACCGATTGTAGCAACATTAGGCCACACTCCCCAATATAAATCCAGAAAGAAATCCTTGCTAGCTCCCGACTCCTCTGTTAAAATATTTAGGAATGTCTTGGACAGAAGTATTAACATTGGCAAAAATTATCAAAAAGACATCGAAGATGCTATAGTGAGACGAGAATTTTCCAGAACCGGAGACGCCCGAGTTACCATAACAGCGACAACCTTTTCTTTCATCTCGAACTCATCCCTACTTTGTGCATATCAACGAACGGGATCATAAGCACCGACGAATAAAAATAGTGACATACATAAATATCTAAAAAAGCCTTCGTCTCTACTCTGTGAGCATCAACTAACGGGATAAAAAGCCCTAGCGTGTAACCATAGAAACATACACAACTATTTTCAAAAAAGCTTTATCATTCTGAGTTGTACCACCTACTTAAACAGTCGATCGTTTTAATTATCCGCATAGAAAATCATCTATACATTTAAATATAAGAAATATTCATATGTATATAGATACACGATACACATCGTTACCTCCCACCGTCACGACTTAAGGCAATCTGGTAACTTACGCGCCCACCATTTACAAAAGGTTGTCAAATCGTCTTAACAAAGTTCTGGCGAAAAACAAACAAGACCAAATGCTGGAAAATGGTAGTCCTGATGCATCGACAAACTACTCGCTATGGAAACTCACGAATAGCCTTAAAGAACAAGTTATTTCAAAGGCTCCTATCAGAAATTCAGCTGGTGGTTGGTGCAGCTGCAGTCAGGAGAAGGCCGATATCTTTGCAATCAGCTTAGAGGACAGATTTAAGCCGTTGAATCTTACTCCGGCAGAAAACCAAAACTTTGGAAGAGGCAGTAACGCAGATCAAAAAGCTCAAACCTAAGAAATAGCCTGGTGAGGTCTTCCAATCAAAGCTGTACTTTTCGTAGTCCTATTGCTTAACAGCGCCCTGAGGCTGGGACACTTTCCATGTAAGGGGAAATCGGCAATCATAACGATATTTCCGAAGCCTGGAAAGCAACCCACTAAAGTAGATGCATAAAGGCCCATTAGCCATTAGTCATGGCACTCCAGAACATCTACACCGAGTGACAAACTTTGCTTTGGAGGCATCGTTGTATACAACCGATGTATTCATGGATATACAAGAAGTCCTTGATAGAGTATGGCGTGATGGTCTTCTAAGTAAGTTTAAGACGCTTTTGACACCACAGCTATTTCTTCTTATGAAAAGCTTTCTATCGGACAGGCAGTTGTGGTTGTGGTGTGGTTGTCGATGGCGGCAAATCGTCTACGCGTACAGTCTCAGCAGGTGTACCCCAAGGTAGTGTTCTAGGCTCGACTCTTTATTCGCTGTATACTTCTGTCATGCAGGAATCCTGGTGCTGTAATGATTGCTGCCTTGCGGATGACACTGCGGTAATGGTCAAGAGCGCAAACATGAGTGTTGCAACCAGGGGCTTACAGGAATATGTGACGGTATTCGAGAAGTGGGCAACGGAATGGAATACCGGCATTTATTGCAGCAAATGTGCTTGCGTTACATTCTGTAAAAGGCCTTTGAACTACTAAGGAATTTCCATGCTATATACACGTATAAGATATATGAGGCGACTCGGTTACTTTTATATATAATACTTTTATACATATATGATATATGAGGCATCACAACTTTTTGCAACGATCACTCAAACGCCTACAAACCGACTAAAAATCTTACGCCCACACTTTAAAAAAAAATTTTACTTATTTTAATTGTATTATTTTTTCCCCACTTTTTACCGATATTTCCGAATTTTTTGAAATTTCTCGTTTGCACTTCCTCTAGCTGAGTAACGGGTATCTGATAGTCGGGGAACTCACCTACAGCATGCACCCTTTTTTTTTTCTTAAATCGGCTTTTATTTAAACAAAATGTATAGTATATACACATATGTATATATATGTATAGTATATACACATATGTATATATATGTATAGTATATACACATAAGTATATATATGTATAGTATATACACATATGTATATATATGTATATTTATACAGTATATACACATTTTGGGGTGGCGGGTGAGTGAGGGGTGAGCGGAGGGGTTGGTCTGCTCTTTGACCTTTGACACTTATATTTTGTAGCCCAAGATTGTTGGTGCTAATTTCCCTGGGATTCTATGCTGCCAAGGACACGATCGTTTGTCGATTTGCGTAGAGCTTTTGACAGGTACCGAAAGCATGCGCCGAGCAGCGTTACCTATGGTTGGGGACGCAGGGGTCGCAAGTGCAGCTCTACCAGATTTTCGGAGAATCGTACCAGCAGTGCTTTTACAGTTGGCTGCGAGATCAGCTGGCGTGACAAAGCAACTCGGTGTGGCGGCAGCCACATTCGGTTTGCATAAAAAGAAAGGGAACAAAAGATAAAAACAGAAGAGAAACCTCTATGCAAAATTCTCTCATCCGTGACCTATACCATGGATAAAAAATTCTTAGTCACCACATTGGACAGAAATTATAGCTTAGGTAGTCGTTCCATATCTACTAAAACTACTATTTAATTTAAATTTGTCTTAAGTTGCTCCACTTTAAATTTAACTCATAATTTTTCGGAGAATCGTCCCAAGGCCGCCCTTAGACGGGCTACCTTATAAAGGTAATACATAACTGACGAAAACTTTGTTCTACGTTTGTTTTGTGTTTTGCTTGGTTTTGTTTGGTTTTTGGCAGGCTTTTTACAATTTACATTTTAAAATTTTTAAATTTTTACAAAATTGATTTTTGTTACTTAATTATTTTGGCCAAACTGCTCACTTTTTTAACTTAAACAACTGCAGCAGTTGTCGAAAGATCTGCCATCTATTGCAAACGCAAAAAAATAGTTTTTGAACTTCGCCGAATATTAAAAAAATAATAAGACAAAAAGCAATAAGAGGACAGCGTATATCGATGTTTTATTATTATTATTATTAAATTATTATTGATTATTTGATCGGAAATGTCACCACACCTTCGCCCTATCCTTTGCCATACTAGGATGACACCATCGTGAGAAGAGAAATGGAAACCTGGAAAAAATGTATTATACATTGTTTGGCATTGTTTGGCTCACCATATCGTTGCTGGACGAACCTACGGCTTCGCTGAACGGGCCCTCGCCCAATGTTATTAGACGTCGACTCAGCCCCCGCGACCCCTCGCCGTACTAGTGCTCCCTATGGGCAAGACGGCTTGAGTGTTTATATACTCAGCTCCTCATGAGCAATTCATTCCGACAGTATAGGAATTCGAAACCGTACGCTAGCGACTCAGAGACCGAAGGCGACGATTCTACTGAAAACTCTGTATGTAAAAGTATCCCAGCTAACGCATTTATTTCATATAAAATGTCTCTCGAAGCAGAACAGATTGAAGCTCTCATGAGGGAGAACAAGCCTTACAAAGTCAACGCAGGGAGGCTGACTTGCGTAAAACAATTGAGGAACTTGCCGGCCAGGTCGCGGCTATACAGACTGCCCCTGTGCGGATTGAAACTCCCCCGATTAAAGTGTACAAACCAGTAGATATCACCGGGCGGGTCCGTTGTGAGGAAACATTGGATGCCGTTAAATGTCTTCCAGACTTTATGGGGACACAGGAGACATACGTCTCCTGGCGGCGAATGCCGCCTAACATATGTTCAGAAAATATGAGGATAGTTCGCGACACTATCAGGCTGTAGTTATCTTCAGGAGCAAAGTTAAAGGCCCTGCTGATGCAGATCTGTCGTCCTTTGTGACCATACTGAATTTCGATGCGATCATAAGTCGACTCGATTTTACATACAGCGGAGCCCGATACACGTTATCGAGCAAGAGCTAGGCACCCTCAGACAGGGAAGCCTGTCACTCCTTCAGTATTATGACGAGGTAGAGAAAAAACTCACCTTGCTCACCAACAAGGCAACCATGTCCTACGAAGCGTCGGCAGCAGCGGTTCTATGTGAGAAGTTCCGGGATGACGCTTTGAGAGTTTTCGTCTCGGGACTTAGGCGCAACCTCACGGATGTGCTATTTGCGGTAAAACCGAAAGACATGCCGTCAGCACTCGCCTTGGCTCAAGAAGTGGTGTCCAACTACGAGCGGTACACCTTCGCAACTTTGTTTGCACAAAGCCAAGAGAATAGGGACCGTAGGCAGTATCCCAAAGTGCAGGAGCGCCAGCAGGTCCCCCACAAACCGGCTCGCAGAGAAGTGCCGGGAAGAACCCGCACTTTACTAAGCGGCATAGAGCACAGGTGCACTCCGCTCCACGTAGCGACCGAATGGCTCGAGGGATCACGCCGGAACCCATGGATGTTGACCCCTCATTGTCCAGGATGCAGCCATCTCACGCCCCAGCTTACCCGAAATCGAAGCCGGCCACGTCTGGCTGCTCGCTCCCGCCTAAAAGGCAAAGGGTCAATCATGTGGCCCAGGCCTCGGATGATTCGGACTTATGCTTATGCCACCGCAGCCTCCAGTGCAGCGGTTAAAGTCGACGATGATGCCATCCTAGAGTATGACTCGGATGCCATTAATTTTTTAGGGGAAAGTCCCTGCTACCCGTCATCAGACGAAGAGTAGCGGGGATCGACATGAAACTGCTGGTTGACACGGGCGCGTCAAAAAATTTCATACGACCATTTAAGGGGTTGAAAGGCGTC